GTCATGAACTGATATGCAATCAAGCAAATGCCACAGAAGGTTTTTCTGTTTCATGACTATTTCCATTAGAAGTGCTCTAAGTTCATAGAAAGCTTAATTATAGTATAGGCCAGAGCAGCATAGGGAACTCATTTGTTTGGAGTTAACACATTTAAAGGATTAACTTCAGACAGACTAAGTCACTAATCCTGTTACAAGATAAAAGTGGAGTTCTGAGAAATGGGCTAGTATGTCCCTCTGTCTTGTTGGGGTTTTCCACATACCTCCAGGTATACAGGAATTAGTAACATCCCTGCACAAGAACAAGGAAGAAAACACTAAAAATGCACCATCTCTAAAGAGAAACGCAAACCAGGGGGTCTAACACACAGTTGGGCCCAGCAGTACCACCACGGACATGGTTGCTATGGGGTGCCTTAGCCGAGATGTGCTCACTGGGAACTGCGTGAGGAAGCTCTGGCTGCTGCTGGCTGCTGTTGCATTCCCTCAGGTGTGCTAGAGCAGGATCCCATACCCAGTGCAGGCCCCACAGCGCTGGAGACTGGCATCTTGCACGGGCAGATTGACATGCGACAAGACAACTGAAAAGCACAATGTTTCATTTAAAGAGAAAACGGGTTTTTCTTGCTCAGGTTATGAGCATGGAAAAGTGTTACACCACTGGGTTTTCCCTGCAGAACAGTCTTATAAAACTAGGCCTTGACTACAATGGTGCTCAGACTCATAACAATAGAGCTGATTAACTGTGAGATGCTGAGAGGCATCCTTGAAGACCGCTGCCAGTGTTACTACCGCTCCTGAGAAGGCAACGATGGTTTTACATCTACCCACAGGCCAAACTGCGGAGAAACATCTGTCTGGTAGAGCTGGAGACAGAGACTCCCAAATGAATTCCCTGACACAGAGGTAAAAATAGCTCCTCGCACCAGGCGCAGCCAAATGCTTCCTGCGGAGAAGCACACGCTGTGCCCTGGGGCTGTCTTCTGTGCCATTTACACAAGTACCTAGAGGAGCATCCAGAGGAGCACAAACAGGAGGTACCAGGTCCCCAGTGATACCTAGTCACCAAGTCTGTCATAACACCATTTTGTTTATTGTCCTGTTTCCTAGTGAAATTTCAACTCTGAAATGAGTACACTAATGAGAAAAAGCAACCATGACAGTATGCAATCCTCCTGCAGCCTCCAAGCACAAAATCACTCAGGTATCCTTTTAGTTCTTGAATTTCACTGTGTGATCATTACCCTTCTCTGCACACACAGAGTGCCACACTGCTACAGCTAGGGTGCATGGTGCTGCTCCACCTACAGCTGGTTTATAGAGGTTGCTGGGTCTACATGAGAAGAACTTTCCAGAAACAAGTAACTCCACATTACTACACTTTACATTTCTTTAGCAAGAAAGCTGTCATGCTTGGGAAGCTTTCTGGAAACTCTGGGAATCAAGCTGCCTTCTTGGGTGGCTCAGGAACACGATGACAGTGCAAAAATAGGTGCACGGACAAATTCTGAGAACCAGGCTCATGGGCACACCAGAGCAATGGGTGTAGCACATACCGGGTGGGAATTACACAAGCCGTGATGGGGAAAATACTTTCTGGGGGACAGGGAACTCTGTCACAGCCCCTGGCCTCCCACCAGGGGTGACGAGGAAAGTTTCACAAGTGCCTCTGCGCGCTCCCCACATCAGGGCTGGGAGCCAGAGCAGCCCTCTCCTGCTGGCAGGTAATCCAGCCACAGAGACAGGAGACTGATCAAGCAGTTACCATCCTGGGCTAAACACTGCTGATGCGTAAGGAGCATGAGCTTTGTCACTGGAGCGCTAAAGGCTAAATTCAGTAATCTGTGTAGTTTGGTAAAAACAATTACAGTATTTAGGTTACAAAGATAAGTAAAGAATCAGGGGTCCCGTTGCCTGGACAACCATCTGCAATGGCATTACCACCAGAGACCACTTGTTGATCATAAGATAGACGTTAATTCTGTCCGTGGCTGCCTCTGGTTTGTCTTGCCATGTCAAGTGTTTTGCATCGGGCAATTTTGGTTTGTAGTTTTATGACAAAAATTTGATTTGGTAGAGCATGCACTCAGAGAAACTAACACTTCTGTCATTCCTGAACATAACACAGCCCTGTGTTTAATTTTATACTTTTTACTCCCCGAAAGAACACCAGATTCAGTGACTGTATGCCATGGTAAAACACTGAGGGGGGAGAGGGGGATACATACACACACGCACAGAGCCTTTCTGATTTCACATGTGACCTGAACTGGCATCATCATCAACTGACTTATCCTACAGAAGCATATGTTTGACTGTAAATAAATAAATAAATAAAGTGAAGGCATAAAAGACTTTCAAGGAATCCATTTTTGTGCAAGGGGCAAACCAGAGCTCTCGGTTACTTTATAACAGAGATCAAAGATTAAATTCAGTGCTCAAGAATGAGGGTAATGGTGCCAACTTGTGCTTTGTTGAGTGGAACAGGTCATTTTGCAATCACCATCATCAGCAAACAAGCCAAAGATTATGGACCAGAAACATTCTCAAGAGGTTTCTGGGTTGGCTAAATAAACAAACTGTGTTGTGCATACAGGCTCTTGCTCTACGACTTGCGAAGAGCGGCTCATTTGAGTCCTGACTGCTTGCCACAGCCCGGCAGCAGAGGCACTGGGACACTCCATCAGCATCACAGTGGTACACCCCACTGTGTCAGAGGACTATCTGAGGATGGACTACACAGTCCACAGCAATTACTGTGAGGCACCATTAATTTTAAGGTTGATGGTTATTTTAGCTGTGTTACATTTTCAAAGGGACATCACCTTGTTTGCAAAGCTGACCTCAGACAGACAGAAGCTTTACTGAATCATCCAATTTCTTAAGTGATCATTATATTCTTACCGACTGAATGCAACAGCAGAATAAAACCTGCAGAGTCCATGCCCTCACCATAGCTGGAGCTCAGACTGGACGGTACACCAAGGCTCAGAAAGGACTTTAAATCAAGAAATGCATTTCCAAAGGAAATTCTAAGCACTGGCAGTGCTAGGTGAAAGAACAGCCTACACATAATATCCTGAAGCCTTTACTATCTCAATGGTTACTAACAGTGGCTTTATGGCTGAAACCATAATCCGAACAAAAAAAGACTTCATCACCAGCAACAAACAGTAAGTGTTTATAACTCAGTCCTTGCAAATAAATGTGTTTTTTTTAAAAATAGTTATTAAATGTTACAAAAAAACAAAACAAGGCTGTCACCAGTAATCCCCTCAATTGTTTTCTCACCTTGATCTCTTACATCTTAAAGATCACACTAGGATTACCTATTCTGAATAAAAACCACAATAATCAGAAGCAGGCTAGTTTTATAGGCTTAGGAAGAAAATAAAAATTACTAGCACCAGCACATCATCTCCCCTGCAGCACTGGTAAGTTAATCAATGAAAGCAATTAAATCAATCCACTATGGATTTTAGCTGCAGCCCCTCTGAGGATAAAGGATCGGAGAGCTGACTCTCCCACAAGCCACCTGCAACCTTCCTTTGCTTTTCTTCCTCATTGCAGCTTGGTTACCTGCCTGTCCTCTCTCCTTTTCGTCAAGGGAAAGGGAAGGCCACTGTGGTAAGTCGTAGCTTCCACAGAATCTATGGCAGCAGCTTCAGTTCAAACCCCACTCTCCCCTGCCCAGTCACATCTTTTTAGGCAGCACACACAAACACTGTGCAATCCGTGCACGTGTGTTCTGGGAAACAGCCAAAACCATTGACAGTAACAACAGGGAGAGGAGAAAGTATCTTGCATAGACAGTCACTATACAGAGACGCTTTTGCTATGAAATCTCCTTAGATTTGTACAAATTGGTATTAATAAAGATATGTTCCAAGCCACTGTTCATTTTGTACCTATTTGACACCAAATCTTAAACCACAAAATTAGACCTAATATTAGAGCCTGAGATCTGGATAAAATGGATTTCAACTGAATATGCATTATCTGTCAAACCAAGCTCATTAGCACAATATTAACAATATTTTTGATTGTTTTTGCAGCCAAACTTTAAGAAAATTTCTATTGCACAAATGAGGGAAGAAAAAAGATTCACATCTGCAGTCTAAATACCTCTCAGATACCCACAATCATCTGCACTTCACCCAGTTCTAAGTTCAACAATATTTTTCCGTGTAGGAACTTTTTTAGCCAGTGCCTAACTAAAAAGCTGGCCAAACTGACAAAGCAGAAGCCAGCCAAAGAGAAAATATTTATCTTTCTAGACTAAGCTCAAACTGTTCTATGCCCCTGGAGCTAATACAACTGAACTGGACACAAGACGATTGAAAATATCGACAGGATATGCAGTAAGTCAGGCTGACAACCGTGCCAATTCATCTGTTGTTGGGCAAGTTTACTAACAGACCATTTCTGAAGCTCAGAAACATGGGGTTAAGAGGAGGGAAAACCCTCTCAGCATGACATCGCAGAATTGCCCTGGCAATTCTTCTGCTTTTGAGTCAGACAAGAGAAATATCTTCAGACACCTGAATAACGATTACCTTGAAGAGCCTGGAGACACGACGTGTATTTTGTAAAGGGATGATGGAACCTGGGAGAGAAGTAGACGTCCTAGCTGTGGTCCTCCGGGATGCTCGCATCCACAATGCTTCCACAAGAGGGGACATTACTTGCTCCAACAGAGACTCAGTGCTATTTGTTGTCCAAATTATTAGGATTTAGTGTGACTATGCTCTTAAAAAGCCCACCCAAATCATGTAGTTCAATTTAAAGCATACTGGCTGAAAACAGGGTTTTGTAGGGTGTTTTTTCGGGGTTTGTTTGGTTTTTTAAGTGGCAGCATGAAAATATACTGAT